CCGGGCTCATTTGCAATGGTGCGGATTGAAATCGTGTAAAACTTTTTCGTGTCCCAGATTGCAAAACAAATCGCCTCTTGCCATTTCTTTCACGTATGGACAATTTGAATATTTTTAACTGTTTTGTTTAGAGTAGTAACTTTTCTTTTAATACAAAAGCAGTTGTGGACATGCTGCTTGCGCTAAGCGAGTTATGTAGTTTGCGGACTTGGTGCTTTTCTAAACAATGCCGGTTTCTCATTTAATTTTTATCAATATTTTTTGTTAGAATTTTATTCGATATGAGGGGTTAAAATAAAAAATGCCGGTTTAACTTTTCAAAGTAGCTAACACATCACCCTTGCAGAAACAAGGTTGAAACAGGTCAGCTTTTAAAGCGTCGGGCAAAGATTTGGTTTCAAAAACTCTAAATGCGGATTTCGCGAGAATTGATCGTGCGGAATTTCAGTTATTCCGTGCACTGGCCAAACACAGTTAATAGAATGCTGCTGTTCCTTACAGAAAAAAAAAACAAGAAACAACCCCTCTACCTGAAACCCTTAACTTTAGACAAATTATTCTACTTAGCTGAAAAGCAGCAATTTTTAGTTTCTGAATGGGTAATTTCAAATTTCCGCTCCCAGGATATCCTTAAAATCTAACCGATTTTTCAAATTAATTCATAAGAAAGCTGAATCTTAATATAATCTTGGTATGATTTGAAATTTCTATGTTAAAAGCATTGCTCTTTCGAACGAAACTACTCTGTACAATGATGACAATCAAGCATTGCACAGATCCGGCGCGCCATGGTAAATTAGACCGACATTTTCTTCGGCCACCCAGTACAGTACAGCACTCCTTTGCGGAAGCTGCGAAATAAATTATCGCGTCCATCAGCTTGAGCATGGGAACCTTATGTCATCCTCCGGCACCATCGTTACGATTTATCGACAAATTTAGAAAACCAAACATTGTTAATATGCGGGAAAACCATTGTCTTGTTCGTTCCATGATTGGATTAAAAAAACATACGGTGATGTCTGCATCGCGCATGTAGAACTGAAACGGGCGCTCTTATGGGTCATGGATTTCTGGCGTAAACCGATTCATTTATTTATAACTCGCTACTATCGTTATGCACAGAGAATTATAAAATTTGTAATTAAAATTATTATCTTAATATGAACTGATGATAAACATATATCCAGTTGCCGGTTGTGTACGTATAGATATAAAGTGCAGCATAGGACCAGTCAGAATACAGCATGGACCAGCCAGAATGACATGTAAATTATAAACTACGTACTGGTCGATGCTACATGCACAGCGACCTGTTATGCAAGCATTCGACGTGGTAAACCGGGAAAGCCCGTGCACGATGACAAGCGTTGCCATCACGGACCAAATGTGGACGCAGGCATCGCTGTCGATATCCGAAGGCGGTCTTGAAATTCGCAGCATTGAGAAGCCAGCCCTTGCGGCATCGGCTTACTCAATTGCGACGCTGGCATACGAGACTGCGGACTTCACCCTGAGGTGTACTACAGCGCGGCTGTAGAGCAATGGCAGCCAATTACAAAAAAATAAGCGCCGGATGTCAATCTTCGCAACCTACAGACAGTGTGGGATGAACCTCTAATTGCGAAGGCTGTGGAAATGCTGCGGATTGAAGTTAAGGATGATCTATCCAGTCAGGCTCGGCTACGCGGCGTGAGCACACAAGAGAAAGGGGCTGGCCTAGAGGCGTCACCGGTAGCATAACTGGGAAACATCTACTGACGGACTCTGCCCTGAGAATCGCTGTCGGATTACGCGCCTTGGAGCAGCTATCGCCACTCCGCGCCGTTCCATCTGCGGGGACAGGGTGGAAGCTCAAGGCTACCATGGTCTCAGCTGCAAGAAAAGTCGAGGCAGGAAGCCCGGACACAGCAGCCTGAATGCTGTCTGTAAACGAGCGCTCGCTTCCACCGGAAATTAAACAGAACTTGAACCAACGGGTTTATGTCGAACGAGTGGCAGACGCCCGGAGGGCGGTACGTTAGCACCGTGGGAAAGAAGAAGAATGCTGACCTGGGACGTCACCTGCGTTTGTACGGTGGCATTACCGCATATATCGTGGCAACATCCGTGCGAGGTGCAGCGGCGCAAAGGCCGAACATCAAAAGGTAACCAAGTACCAGAACACCACCCCAGACTGCCTGTTCAGCGCTTTGGGCTTTGCGACGCTAGGACCAAACGGACCGGAAGCTTCCCGCCTGCAGATTGAAGTGGGTAGAAAGGTACGGCAAGAAACCGGCGAGGCACGAGCACAGGAATATCTACGCCTGTGTATCAGCATAGAAAGGCCTCCGTTCAGGGAACATCTCCACTGGGAGCACATTTAGATCAGTCGTTCTCTGTTCTTAGACCTCCCGAGGATGCTTTGAGCTTTCTGCCGATTAAGTGTACTGCGTTGTGATGTTAATTGTTTCCTACAAGGAAAATGCACGTTGGCGCGCTAAACTGTATACGCTTCCGTATTATAAAGATAAAGTGCATTATAATATTGCATTTATCGAAATTTAATTTGTCGATATTTAATTTGTATCTAGTCTGCACAATTGTATTTTGAGTTTTGTACTTAAAATGTTCCCAGAAACTGCAAATTTACTGAAATTCCAGGATTTTGGGCATAAATTCAAAAAGCAAATGCTTGGTTATTTCCGAATTAAAAAAAACATTTATGATGAATATGTACGTCAGTTTATGCAATATGTATAAAGTATCAGTTTGTGCAGTAATATAAGCTTTTTGTTAACTTATTATATCATATGTACAGAACAGTAAAAATACGCTTACATGCGCACATAATGCAGAAGTACTATAAAGATAAATATTATATAAGTTGTTGATCGTATTTTCTTACAAAATATGTTCCAGTAAACTGCAATTACAACTTGCGAAAGAGACATTAAATTGATTGGTGGATTTTTTTACTTTTGCAAGAAAAATTTTGTTACTTTACATTTTGCCTTTCGACGAGAAGTTTTTAAGATATTATTAAGAATTCGTAACAATTGTATGGAAAGATGGTAATTTGTATTACCTTCTCTCCGAAAGTTGTAATATTGTATGGAAGTGGCATTAAGCGCACTGTTCACGTCCCGCTCACCGCATGGCGCATTCCTTTTTCTCACAGTGAATTAACGCAGAACTGCGCTAATGAAGTGGCTGCCAAGATCAGTTTATTTGGCGCACCGGAAGTATCGCTTTCAGTACATCAGTGAACATAAATTTTCCAACATGCATTAATAGGTCAGATGGTTGATGTATTTGGTTTTGCTAATCTCGATAAAGTTAATCGAGGAATATACCATCCTGGACTAGCTAGCTAAACCATAAGAACCAGGGCTTCATTTTCCGGCACTCAACCTTCAACTAAACCTCTTTCTGAATGTTAAGTTAAAACTTTTCAGTCTTACATGCATGATACAGAATTACAGATATTCTTTTGATTGCATCTTTGTAGCTGTCCAGCAGTATTGCGCAAACCAACAGCCTGCTCACAACTCGCAGTCCATGTAACAAGAGTAAAGCTTTTTCACTGCGTGAAAATACTACGAAATATTTGCAAACTGAGAATTTGGTAATAAGGACATTCCCCCAAAACCCGTGAAGTGGCGCCACTCAGTAAGCTAATGGCACCGCGAAAAATCAAGTAACTGCAGTGGTCTCAAGGGATCGCTCTTCGTATTTTCGAAAACCATGTCCAGAGCCGCCACCCGAAGACTGCATTAGAAACGTTGATGTAAGCTTATAACCCAGAAACATGAAATACCTATATCGGCTGATATTTTTTCTGGTAATAAGCTCACCGTTTTCGAGTGCCCGTCCCGAAAACAGCAACACATTCACAATTCAGGGCTTCAAAGTACGCGAATATGATTCAGCATGTTGGAGAAATTGCTTCACCGACTCCGGAAGCGGTAGCCCGAATTGACTGTTGATCCGCAAAATTTGCGTGTTCTTTAGCAAACTGGTATTTGAAGCTGCTTGGCGCTTCGCGTCTTGGTTTACCAGCTGATACCATTTAATGTAAAAATACTTCCGGCGAAATACAAATACTGTAACTAATCGTGCCTCTTAGTAGGTGGATTAATTCTGAATGTCTTTGCAATTTTGATAAAAAAATAATAAAGATAATAAAATTTGATAAAAAACAAGTGGAACGACTTTCAGCCATTCTAATAAACTGTTTCTTACCGTTAATACAACCACCTTTAATGAAACCACCTTAAATAAAACTACTGCAATATCACAACAAGTGCCAAATGTCTCGCCTGCAATAGTGACAAAACAACGGCGATCAGTAAGCTACTTGAACTTTCCCATCTTGTCCGCAAAGGCCCGTTCGCAGCACACTTGGAAGTCGCCAGCACACTTGGAAGTCGCGTCGATATACGAATCCGCCATCGTGTCTCAACATGTCCCGTTCCATACTAACGGCTGTCCGCGGCATCATTTCCCGCTCGTGGCTCCCTCCATGCATGCCTCCATCCATCTAGTTGTTATTGGTACTTCTAGGTAATACGTAAAAATGCTGATGCGAACCTGCACCGGTGCCGCACAAGAATGCAACAACCATTTTGAATCGTAACGATAAGCGTTCCTTAAAAAAATTACCACTAGTTCCCATTTCCCACTAACCATAGTCCATATGTATCGATGAAAGAGTTATTCGGCTGGAACAGGATTTGTTGTCAAAATCATGATCCAGTGTAGAATAGAAAACTGTTACCTGTACTGCCGATAATGTAGACAGCGGTCTAGAGGCTTGAATAACACTCCAGCCAGGCAAATCCAGCTAACCCGAAAAAACTTCGCTATCTTTTTCCGAAACTCGATTTTGAATTGGGCACCGATGTTGATGTCAAAAAGTTTTCTTCTTCCATGCACTACGAACTGAACTGGAAAACTGCTTAGCTTGATGCGCTATAACGGCATCCGGACCGGATGCCCGGCGTTTTGACATACCCCATCCGGTGATTGCGCAGTTACCGATCCGCTCTGTTAGGGTATGGAAAAAATGTGGCAGATGGAGCTCCTGACGGAAATCATCAGGTTGGTAGCGCTTCGCTACGGGCGGATGGCTTTTTGCACGGAAGTCGTCTGAGGATAATTCGGGTTTACCATGATTTACTATGGCTTGGATTTTGTTGGAATTTGCACCGCAAGTCAGTGGCTTATAAAGTTATTAGAGTAGGTTTAAATTTTCAAAAAATAAATCTATAATTTTTGGTACAAGCTAGCTTCAAACCTCAACAACTGCGTTTGTTTCTCACCATTAATTCCGTTAAGTTCAACCTGTTTTTTCGCGTTGTTTCGTGCGCACGGACACCTGCAAATAACGTAAGTTGTGTTACGAGGCCAAAAAAATAGTAACAAGCGTAAAATGAAGTATAATCTTGAAAAGGAGGTCTGGTCGCTTCTGAATCGCACTCTGCGACGGAAGCCATAATTATGCCATAACAGCACCGGATTTTAATTAAAAATTTTCTATGCAGAATTACCAAAATTCCCTGTTTTCAGCGCTGCACATTTATTTTACGAAATCTTTGCGCTCGGTAGTGATTTTCCACAAGCCTGCAATCTATTCATAGTTAATTCCTCCAATCAATAGCTGTTTTTACTGCGTGGAAATAACAACCAGCATATCCTAACCGAGAAATCGGCCACGAGAACATATCCCGAAATGCAATGAAGTGGTGCCACACAAAATCTGACGACACTGCAAAATTTCGAGATAGTAACTCAAGTGGCCTCGAGAGATCGTTCTTCGTATTTCCGAAAAACACTGTTTAAGCCGCCATCCGCAGACTGCAGAAAAAGCGTCGACGTAAGCTAAAAACCCCGAACTATCCATAAAAGCTGAGATTTTTTCTGGTAATGAACACTCTGTTTTCGAGTACCTATCCCGAAAACAGCATTATAACAGCTAATAAAAACTTCGAATACAAGAATTTGATTCAGCATGCTGGAAAAATTGCTTCTCCCATTCGGAGACGATAGCCCGAAAAAACTGTCCCACCTGGAAAATGTGTGCGCGTTTGTATACTGAATGGTCATACCCTGTAAATTTTTCAAAAGTAGTGTATATATATAAACCGATCACTCCGTATTTGTTTCATTATTTTCGACAAATCCCATGCATTTGTTATAAATCGGAACAGCGTTTCTGCCTGTCTTTGTTTCGTCATGAATTCGAAAAGCATGATTTTCCTGACCTTTGGTCTTATGGTTACCTGCATGGTAAACTACAGATACATTAATATTCGTATTTTTGTGACGCGCTGTCAACTGATGTGTTTTGTTTCTCTTAGAGGTTAATACTAGCTGACGCGGCCTGCGAAGACGACAAGCCGGCTTGCTGTTGTGAGTCAAGCGGGTACTGGTGTGACAGCAATAACCAACCTAGGACGAATGTTAACCTTGGCAGGAGTGGGCTCTCACGCGACCGAATGTACTCAGCGTACACCAAGTTCTTGGCGCAACACCCTTGCAACCGTGGGAAAAGTGTCTATGTTGCTGCAACCTCCTGATCTGAAAACCGACCACTCGCTTTCAAAACTCTCATTTTTGCGGTAACTTTCCAGTTGACTGATCACAAATAACAAACATCTTGTAGACCCTTATTAGAAGTTTCATTTTTATCTCATCGATGTTCTCACGGATTTTGTAATTGCTGTTATTCTTTAAAACCGTGCTGATGATTGCTGTAGAAGCTGTTTCACGTCTGATTTACTTGATAATTACAAGAAGTCAAGAACATAATCATCCCGAAAACCAGTGAAGTTGTACCACATGCAAGCCTGCACGAAGCGGATTACACTGCAAAAACTGAAATAATTGAGGTGGGCTCCAGGGTGTGATCTTCGTATTCGAGAAACCTAGTTCAAACCGACACTGGTAAACTAATGCAAAAGCATCGATTTATGCTACAAATTTCGAAATATCCATCATGACTGAAGTCATTTCCTGCAACGAACACACTGTTTTTCGAGTAGATATCCCGAAAGCAACATAATAACTGCTTTCCAGGATATCAAAGTGGAAGAATCTGGTTTAAAATACTCGAAATTCGACCACCCGGGATATCATTGCTAAAATACCCTTGCATATATATGTATGTATATATAAACATAAAGATGACGCATGCCCGCCCGCCCTCTGGTTCAAACCAACATCTCTACCACGCGTTTTTAGAGAATCTCAGTCATATTCAATTACGGTAGATGACACAGGCAAAGCATAAACTAAAACAACTGCCGTTAATTCACAAACTATTTTTACAAATTCACCACTTTATTCACTTGAAGTACAAAGTATAACGTAGTAGGAAATATTATTTGAAAATATCACAGTTTGTACAAAACTTCATTAAACCTAATTAAACTTCTGCTCCATCTGTTTTTCTCGTTTGATACTGATATTATTATTATTATTATTATTTCTTCGTGGAGCAGGTAGCCCATTTCCGGCTAGGGTGACATACTAGCATGGGATTTTAAACCTGGCCAAACAGTAACTGCACAGAGAAAATTACCAGCACACTTAAACAAAATTTACGGTGCACAACGCATGTTTAAACGCACCAACAGATCGAACACTAAAAATATCAGAAGAATTAGAATCCACGAAAAATTTCCACATTTTATTAAGCTCCAAGCTAAGGTTGTTTCGCCGACTTTTTTCTTTGCTTTCGCCTTGATTATGGTCCGGTTCGCTTCACGAAGATTGTACGGTTTCACTTCCTCCTTAAATTCCACCATCTCGCTGATGTACTGCGGCACATGGAATTTTTCCGGATGCTTGATTTTGTACAACCACATCGCTTCGTTTTGCCTCCATCTTGTGAATAGAGGAAGGATTCCGTGCTTGGTCATGAATGATTCCGTGGATATTCCAGAGTAGTTTGCAGCCGCTCTCAGGCCGCTACGATGCATGGCGGCCAATTTTTCCCGCAAGCGCACAGATGCCCCGTTCCACACTGTAGAACAGTAGTCCAGATGAGACTGGACAAAGGCATAGAAAAGCGCAATGCGTTGGGATGTTGGCAGGCCGACTTTCACACGATTTAACAGTGATATACCGTACCGAACACTCTTTTGGACCTTTTTAACATGGTTAGTCCAACTGAGATGTTCATCCAGCATCACTGCAAGGTGTTTCACTGACTTTTCGGGTTGCAACTGATGACCATTCAGCGATACGTTAACGTTACTTTCGCAGTTGCGAGCGGAACTTATCATCAATAATTTCGATTTTTTTTCATTGACATATAAGCGGTTTGCTTTTAGCCAGTCACAGATGTCCGGTAGTGCATCCGTTAGTATCTTTGCTGCTTCTGCTTTCGAGTTAGCAACTGCATAGCAGATGGTGTCGTCAGCAAAACTTTCTAACTGGACATTTCGTAATCGCAATTTTCGTAACTGATACTGATACTGATACTGATACTGATACTGATACTGATACTGATACTGATACTGATACTGATACTGATACCGCGTTTCCTCGCTGTATAAATATCTACAAGAAAGTCTGTCTCGATCGGCACTGTGGAGTTTGTCAGTCAGATACAACGATCCGGAGCGATAATTCTTTTCTCCACTCTTATCGCATATCGTGCAAGTATTTCGGAAGATCAGGTACCGCCACAGTGCAACTTCCGCCGGCGTCCAGCCAACTCAACTATTCCCCACGAATTATCTAAGTCAGATATTTGTGGGGAGTGGTTGTGCTGGCTTCTTCATATTCCAAGGCACAAAGAGTGGGCATTCGCAGACAACAATTACCGTAGGACAGGTCCCACTTAAGACTTTCTTTCAACGTTCTAAATGGGTATTGCGCAATGCGCACGGTACGGTCTTCGAAACACTGATTATATAACTTACATGGATAACATCGTTTCGTCGTTATAATAAAAAAAAGTATTAACGAATGAAGAACAGCTATTGTGATTATTCAAAGAAAAAGAAATTCAGTGAGATTCAACCATGCAAGTTAGCCCGTGGTAAAAGCAGTCGCCGTTAGGGAACCGTTAAAGACTTCAACATCATAACTGTCAAGCAACCATGCTTAATTTTGTGATACGGTCCGGAAATTCGGCTAATCCGGTAATCAGTACTTATTTATCGCAGGGGGACTGACTGATTGTCCAAATCACGAGATGTGCTGATATGGCACCGGGAAATTTATCATCTTTAATGCAGCTTTGCATCAGGTTGATTTATTTAACGAGTAATGTGCAATTTGTCAAGCACGCGGTTATCGTACATCTTCCAATGAGTTTGTCTGAGAAAACAAGAACGAAAACTACCAAAAATATTACCAGTGAATACGTTGTTATATTACCTGTATGTGGAATTGTGAACAATTGATTGGAATTATAATTTTTATCCTCTTGATTGAATCATAATATTTTAAATCGTACAACCAAATGCACAAAGTCTCAGTGCGAGGGAAAACATTGCACCACAAGCTTCGTTTACAAAAAAATATACTCCCTTCAAGACTTACAAAATGCTGTCTATCAGCCGTAGTGACATTTAAAAAAAATTAATTTATCTGTCATTGGCCAGCTGCTTTGTTCTATTCTGCTCTGGCTAGTTGCATTGTGCCGAATTTTTTACTAGAGATGAGAAGTACAGCATATAGGCACACAGTGAGACACATTTTTTATCAATTTTTTACGGCTCATATTGCGATCTATCCGTACTCTGTACACGCGAAGAAATTCTCCGATTTGGATTGAATAGTACTGGCCAGATTTAATTAATCAAGTGCCTTAGTACAATTTGCTACATTCTGTAGCTGCAGTTGCCTGATCTGATAGTTGTTCCCGCGTAGTTATATAGCTTATACCTCACAGTTAGAAAACATTATTGCAGGTACAGTTGGATTTACTATAAAGCTATAGAGGCACGAAATTAAAATTTGTACTGCTGCTGGAGATACGTAAGCATTTCCGGAGGGGGGCACTAAAACCGCCTGTGTATTGTGCGAAGAAATCGATGTCTCGCTTGCTGCGCGATTGTTAATGGCAACGTGATCGTAATATTTTCGATAGTACGTTGTCGTTAACAATGGCGCAGACAGTGACAGTCCCAAGACGCGTGGTCGGTTCGACCAAGAAAACATGAGTATCCATATTCACAATGAAGTACTTCTTTTTCGGGCATTAGAAACAATCATGATGGTTGAATTACACATCCTGAAGAGGCAAACAATTAAATGACTATGAATAATAGGATTTCCTCGCTTATATAAGCAACGCAATAGGCAAAATGCAACGAGCAAATATGATATTACGAGCAAGACATGATAATATAGAAGGGGACATTGCGATATTCCGTTAACAGCGGACTATCAGATCACAGAAAACGCAGTTTGGCGCAAAATCTTGCAGACACTCGACAATAAATACTAAAATCACTGAACGAATTATTCAGATCTGCAAATTATATTGCGAGTGTGCAGATATTGTATCACAGGTCCCGAGCCGTGCTCCGCTGACCTTTGTATTGAGCCAATCGGCTGTAAGTGTCCAGGGTCTATAATTATTGTAGATCGCTGTATTTCCTCAGAATCAGAACTGTAGCTGCCCGTGCACTAACAGACATAAATTGTTTATTTACAGGACTTTTAAGCGCGATAGTCAGATGAAGCAATCGGTTCAAAAATATTTTTTAGACCCTTATCGTACACCGTATATAAATAATCGCATACTACAATTAAGAAATTGTAGCATGTGATAAAGTTATTCGCTCTGATTTTAGAGAATTTGGCGCACCGGAAGTTGACTTTCTTGTTAACCGCGTAAACATGTACTAGAATATGATTTTACACTGCTTGGCAAAAAGCAAAGGCCAAAAGCTTAGTACAGGCATGTCTTCCGCATGGACGAAACGATCAGTTCCACTGATAAATGCCGGCAACGTTCTGTCCCTCGTCGAGTTTTCACATGCCCTGTACATCGCTGGCGCGCCGGAAATGTTTTGCGTTTCTAAATTTAATTTTACGAATAGATTATTACCACTACCGAGTGCCGATTCAAGGTTCAGATGTGTTGCGTTTAATTTATTTGGGAAATTAGACTGCCTGGCGCGCTAGAACGGCACACGGACCGGATGCGCTGGCGCTTTTGCATTCCCCAGCCGGCGAGCTAGCACTTAGCTGGTCTGCAAGGTCTACGGTTGGGGTAAGGGAGAAATGCGAACGGTGGAGTTCCTGGCCGAAATCTTCTGGTTGTGCGCTGATTGGCCTCGATACGGGCGGATGACTTTTATGCGTTTACCGTTCGCAAAGAAATTGACTTTCTTGGCGGTTTGTATTCATAGTAATCGTCTTATCAGTCCAAGTCGGTTTCGAAGCAGAGGAAGTGCGCATACACCTCGCCTGAGGATTTTGCTTAATTCGCCCTGTTTCCCCATATTTGTTGCGCACGGAAACCAGCAAGTAAAGCAATACATATATATACTCGAATCACGATAAGGCGGTACAAAATGACCCGAAAAAAACAGCATTTATTGTAAAATGTGCTATAAAATTGTAAACTTAACCGCTTCGGTTTCACGCGTGGGACGGTAGCAGAAAGGAATCTTAGCACAACGTAATGTCCAAGGGAAGCTTTTCCATGCATTTCTATTTAACTGCACACGCTGCTCTCAAACCAGCTTTAACCAGTAAAGCAGCGGATGAACCCTTATTAATAATTTACTCTAAGGCATACAAATACAGATACTAAACTTAAGCGAAGCAAGTATATTTTTCGGCAAATACCAGCCAATCAACAGAAAATCAGCGATTGCCCATTGGATAGCGCCCATAGCGGGTCCATGCTGAAATAATTGTATCGGTACTTATGCGTAGCCTTCTGAAATCTGTAAGAAAAAATGCGTAGCTGTTCAGAAATAAATAAAATAAATGCGTAGCTGTTCAGAAATCTGTAAGAATATTTAGCTGGACATGGATCGCATCGGGATTTTAACTAACGGGCACCTAATCGAGAAAATTTCGTTGCATTCTACTTAAACAAGTAACAAGAAACCTCACCGCCAACGTCTACGTTTGCCAAATAAATGGCATATTTTCAGCACCAGCAAAAACAACAAAGCTAAAAACAAAGTAAACTCTTTAACGAGTTAACATAAGCGTCCACAAGAAAGTCGTACTGCGTACAGTGTAATCAAACACGGCGATCGGTGGGGAAGTTGTTTTCACCAAACTTATCGTACATCATTCAAGTAAATAAGCTGCTATGGTTTTTATTTACAGTAAATAACACCACCAGGGCATGGAGCAGGAGAGTGTGACAACATTTACTTAGAAGCGGTTGTAAGGAGAGAAGCGGCACACGTACGGCGATAAAGTCTTTCAAAGTATTTCAACACTTTACGCCGTGGTGCAGTGTTACTGCCTACGCGGATCTAACGACGTAGCCGGGGTTCGATTCCCCCATCGGTGCACTTTTCGGCCGTTTCTCGGTTTCCAGTGGATAGCGCCCAAGTTTCACTTTCACATTCGTTGAGAAAAAATTGATAAGGACCAGTCAGATTCCACTTTATGCCTTGTATAAGATATTACCTGCTGTCCCGCAGCCACGGCTAGCTTGACAATGGAGGCATCCTACCAGGTGACTGAAAACTTTTTTCAGTTTCTGTAAATGCAGTGATCCTCATAAATTATGCAGTGTTAATTTTAGAACCAACAGTCATCTGTAAACAAGGACAGTATGATTGCCCACTTTGAACACAACGAAAAGACAATTTCGCCGTTGGTATTTTATGTTGATGCACCGCCGGGCATTCCGGAACCTTTGCCGTATTCCGGGGATTTTTTCTGGGCCTTCCACGCCGCCTACGCTTCGATCCATGGCTACCTTGCAGTAGTAATCTGCGCTGTCGGGATTGTCGGCAATCTCCTGAGCATCGCCGTACTGACGCGTCGATCTCTGGTAACCCCGACAACGGTACTCCTGACAGCGCTGATTGTGGTACACACGCTGTTGATGATGACGTACATTCCCTTCGTCGTTCATCAGAACATCCTGAACGCCGTCTGGCCCGTCGCCCTGTGGCACAGTTATTCGTGGATGGCTTTTATCTTCTTCCATGTACAATTTACTATCGTTTTCCATTCGATCGCCGCCTGGCTCACCGTTAACCTGACGCTGTTTCGCTGCTGGACGGTGATGTTCCCCAGAGCAGCGGATAGGTGCTGCAAGATGTTGCTGCCGTATACCATTATCGCGGCGGTCGGGATATGCAACGTTATTTTCTGGACGCCATCGTATTTAAGGTCAGTTTTCAAAAGGATTTTCAAAATTTAATGTATCACCGACACCAACGATTCATTAAGGGATTTGGCCCGGTACATAGCACCAAATTCGTGTGTACATACATGGAATATTGCTGTCTTCACTCCAAACACTTTTTTGCATTGCTTTATGGTATTTTGTAGCCAAAATATTTGTATACATAGGCGTGAAATCCGTTTTTGCGCGCAACATCCGGTTCGGGAGTTATGGCTGTTAGAAAATTCTAGAAAGTTTAAATGCATTCAGGTGTACCAAAAGTTTGATTATGGACCGATCCCTTTCAAATTTTGCACGTAAATGCGCATAACCATGAAGATCGTTCTTACACGGATCCAGACTTCCACGATTTTTTTCGAATTTTAAAATGAATTTCAAAATTTTTGAAATTCATTTTAAAATTTGAGATACATGCTAAAACACTGGATCGGTGTAAGAACGGTCTTCATGGTTATGCGCATTTACGTGCAAAATTTGAAAGGGATCGGTCCATAATCAGACTTTTGGTACACCTGAATGCATTTAAACTTTCTAGAATTTTCTAACAGCCATAACTCCCGAACCGGATGTTGCGCGCAAAAACGGATTTCACGCCTATGTATACAAATCTTTTGGCTACAAAATACCATAAAGCAATGCAAAAAAGTGTTTGGAAGTGCGCGACAGCGAAAGTTCCCGTGGATGTACACGAATTTGGTGCTATGTACCGGGCCAAATCCCTTAAAGTCTATGGAGTATGTAGAAGGATCTGTTTCAATGCATGTCTCCTTTTTTACAGTGTACAAATCGACATATTTCAGGTACGTACTGTCTGTACTGTGCGCCATGTCACTTTGACATAATCGGAAATTATCCTATACTCTTCATATTGCACGGCGCTGTGTTGCACAATTTCAGCATGATGCACCGGAATACCTTAATCCAACAGGAGTGCCTGTGGTGCCGATGTACAGTATTGGCGAATCAGATTTGTCGCGCAAAAATCACCATAACCTGCAGATAATAACTTTCTATGCGTGCATTGCGGCCAAACTGCTGCCGTGTTTCCTTCTGTTCTGTCTCAGGTAAACCAGGAGCTCGTATAATCTAGCGAAATCTTGTAGCCGTTTTCCTTCTTCCATTACCAACATTTCCAGGATGAAACAAATTATTTTATATGCATAATAGCACTAGTATATACATAATATTTGCTTCTTATACGGGAATGTGCCGATTTTATGCTTGCACATATGAATATCTTTCAGGAAGAACTTTTGATTTGACTGGTCGAAATTACGAGTATATCCCGCATTTTTAGATTCACGGTTATTTTAAACGTTTTGAATATTTATTTCTAAATTTTGTTTCCGAGTATCTACATAGATAACACCATAATTATGTTGTATGCGGATTCAACAAGTACGTAAGTAGTAATAAATCCAATAATATTAGCGTTCCATTGGTGATCGCCCTGCTTCGTCCCGAACGCCATGGAACTCCGTTAACATTCTCCGACGAAGCGTTTCCATCAAATTATTCCCCGACACTCCAAACGGCTCCGTCAACCGCCCAGGAGATGAGTCACCCGGCCAGTAACGCCACCGAGATGGAAATAATATCGGCCACACCCTTCAACGCACTGCAGCGGCCGGCGGCTCCCCGAGGTGGTTACCAGGCAGCGAGGCGGGATGTTCCAACGGCTGTGGTACTGGTCATCGCCGTGGTCTGCATCCTTACCGACGGTCCATCGGGATTATTGGCGCTCTCCACATGTTTCTCCGTGGATTTCTTCAACAATGTCTTTATCCCGCTCGGCAATGTGATGGATGCGCTGCATTTATTGAAGGGTGCCGTCTTTTTGATCATTCTCTGTTCCTTGAGCCGGGAGTTCCGGCTAACGTTTTCTCAGATCTGGTGTGCCAAAAGACTAGCCAGCAACGGAAACGAAATCGCCTGCGGTTATTTTACCCGGATTATCCTTACGTTATTGGTGCGGAATTAAATAAAATATATTTTCGCATACTTATTAAGGGATTTGGCCCGGCACATAGCACCAAATTTGTGTACATCCGCGGCAACTCTTGCTGTCGCGCACTCCCAAACACTTTTTTGCATTGCTCTATGATATTTTGTAGCCCAAGGATTTGTATAATTAAATAGGCGAAAAAGCCAATAATTTTGTGCGCGCAACATCTGGTTCGGGAGTTATCAGTGAAAAACAAACTCCGAAAGCATAAACGCGCGGAGGTGTACCAAATCTCCCATTATGAACCGATGCTCTTCAAATTTTGCATGAAAACGCGCATTACTATGAAGATCGTTCTGGTACCGAACCAGCTTTCTACCATTTTTTTCAAAATTTTTAATCAATTTTTAAAATTTTTGAAATTCATTCTAAAATTTGAAAAAAATGATAGAAAGCTGGTTCGGTACCAAAACGATTTTCATAGTAATGCGCGTTTTCGTGCAAAATTTGAAGAGCATCGGTTCATATTGGGACTTTTGGTACACCTCCGCGCGTTTAAACTTTTAAAGTTTTACTTCAGTAACTCCCGGACCAGATGTTGCGCGCGCAAACGGATTTTACGCCTACATATACAAATTCTTTGGCAACAAAATGTCATAAAGCAATGCAAAAAAGTGTTTAGGAGTGCGCGACAGCGAAAGTTCCAAGTATGTACCCGAATTTTGTACTATGTACGTACCGGGCCAAATACGCGATTCAATAAATTCAATTAAACGAAGAATAAATCCTATTTTTCAGCCGGTTTACGTACAGATACTGTTTGTTTTTGCATATACCGACCGGTGCCGAGCTCTTGTAGAAGCTTTTTATGGTCCAAACTGCGCAAGATGAAGAAATAGTTTTTTTTCATTAAAAAAACTCATTTTTAAGCTGTTTGTACTGTATGTATATGAAGGCCCATCTCAAAATTTTAAGACAAATGTAATCGCCGCACACTGAATACCGGGGCGTAGTCACGAGAATGTTGTGTCCGCTGTGACCTCTGTGTGGTGTGTTGTCCAGCATAGCAACTGCGGTTGCAGTGTGCCACTGTTGTCCTGATGACAACAATCAGTTGGTTGTTTGCGCCCTCAGTGGCGGTTCATAATAAATACATTATGCCGCCACCTTCAAGTCGTGACAGTGGCGTGAAGGATGTCAGTACTAGTGGCATATAGGTGTTAATGTATGCTGCTTTACTGCCGGAACGACGCGATCGACGAGCCAGGGAGAGGCACAACAACTCCATCCATCGGATGTAAAACGTGGTAGTGCTGGGAACGAGTGCCTGAATCGTGGATGGGATCCACGAGGGAAAGCAGGGCGGGAGGAGAAGTGCCGCACCTGTGGAGGCAGCTGGGAAAGCCGCGACGGTGGAGAGGCGGACGAGTACCGTTCCTCCGTGAGGCCCGTGACCAAGATATACGTCTGCTTAAGGCTGCCCAGCCGATGTAGAGAATTGGTTTCGGCGACGCACCTGGGAAATGGGCGAAGCCTGGAGACCGACGGTTCCTTCGTGGCAGAGGGGTGAGCGAAGCCAGACAGCCGTGGACGCCAGCGACGGTGCCAGTGACAAGGCACAGTCAATGAAATGATGAACAAGGAACGTGGTGAAAGGATGAAAGATTCCAGTGGATCAAGAAGCCGCATGAAGAGCGTGGTAAGACGGACGGCGTGGAAAGAGTTTGGTTAATGCTGCACTCGGAGAGCCAGCCAGATGACCTTCACCAGCAAGGGAGAATGAGCGAGTTGTACGTACGAAGGACGCTGTGGCAGGTTGAGTGAATAAGTGTGTTTTAATGCGCAAAATGGAATTAATCCTCGTTGCTAAGAAAATTCGGTGCTTGTATCTGTACGTACGCGCTTTGACTAGTATGACTTTGGATTTGTACTTCTTTGTTAACACTTCAGAAGTGAAGGGCGTGTGGCGTAGTGCAGTGGCACTGATGTCACGAGAATGTTGTGTCCGCTGTGACCTCTGTGTGGTGTGTTGTCCAGCATAGCAACTGCGGTTGCAGTGTGCCACTGTTGTCCTGATGACAACAATCAGTTGGTTGTTTGCGCCCTCAGTGGCGGTTCATAATAAATACATTATGCCGCCACCTTCAAGTCGTGACAATGTATATGAAGGCCCATCTCAAAATTTTAAGACAAATGTAATCGCCGCACACTGAATACCGGGTTTGCACGAGTAGTCGAGTACTTTCCAAGAACTATATTACGGGAAGTGACCCGGTGCATGGTACCAAATTCGTGTATATGCACGGAAACTTTCGCTTTTGCGCACTCGCAAACACATTTTTATTTCGTTTTATGACATTCTTTAACAGAAGATTTGTATACCCTAGCGTGAAAACCGTTTGCGCGCGCAACATCCGGTTCGGCAGTTATGGCTGCAAAAAATTCCAAAAAGTTTAAATGCATTCAGGTATACCAAAATTCTCATTATAAAACCGATCTCTTTCAGATTTTGCACGTACAGTGAGGAGTCGGTTGGTAGGAGTGTCTGTTATAGGCATATAACCACGAAGAACATTGTTACACAATCCACTGTGCTAACAGGTCTTTTTAATTTTAAAATGAATTTTAAAAATTTTAAAATAAATTTTAAAATTTGAAAAAATCATGGAAGTAGGGATCGGTATAAAGCGATCTTCCTGGCTATGTGCATTTACGTGCATAATTCGAAGGACATCGGTTCATAATGAGACTTTTGGTACACCTGCATGCATTTAAACGTTTTGGAATAACGAACAGCCATACATTTTGAACAGCCCTAACCGCCGAACCGGAAGTTGCACACGCAAACGTATACCAATCAATTAGCTGCAGAATGTCATGAAACAGGAGGAAAAAAGGGTTTGAGAGTGCGCGAAAATGAAAGATTTCGTGCGTGTACACGAATTTGGTACCATGTATCGGGCCACTTCCCTTAATAATGGACCTTATCGGCAAAACATTCATACCACGAAAAATGTTACTATGAACGCCTGGGTGCACTGAACGTTGGGAGCCAAACGCATAAATTAACGAGAATTCACTTCATAAGGATCTTAAACATTGCCACAATGCCCTATGGCCAGTAAACGAAAGACTGCTTACGATTAATACTTTTTCCGTATTGTACCAAATGTTTTACCAGAAATGGTAACTATACCGGTACATAAAGAAACACATTTTTCATTGATTTGTTTACGTCCTATTGCGATCTACGTATCAGTACTTCCCGTGACATTCTCAGATTCTGACAGAATGGCATTGACCTGAATGAATTAAGTATTTCGGTTACATTATATAGCGAGAAGCGTGCAGCGGCCTAATCCATAAAAAATAGCAAGTTAACTATAGGTACTTGAACAAGCTGCACTGTACAGTAAAAGGACTGAAGATTGTCCCGCAAAAATACGAAAAATGCAACACCGGGACCGAATTAGAAGCTGTACCGCTGTCAGAGATATGTGATATCTGTAATTATTTTCGGGAACTCGATACCTGTTTAGTGGGCGAAGGAATCGATGTCACACTTTCTGGGGCCATTGTAAACGGGGAAGTAGCAGTTTAGATCGTACATTGCCCAGTGACAATGCCGCAGACCCTGACAATCGCAACAGGAATGGCCGGTTTGGCAAAGAAAACATGAGAATCCATATTCACAATGTTTTATGCGCACATCAGCAACCTAACGGAAAGGTATTCAATTTAATGAGCATGAATATTACTTCTTGGTTTACATAAAACACACAATAGAGAAAATGCCGGGAACACAGAACGAAGTGGAAGTAATCGTAATCAGCACCGAAAAAGCAGGCATCATGATACAGTATACAACAAAAACTTGGATATTCCGTTAATAGCAGGCTAGCAGAAGTCAGAAGACAGAAAACCCATGTTGGCACAAACATTTTTATACCGTCTTCAGAAATATTTACATCACTGAACCAATTATTCCGATTTGCACATTAAGTACGAGTGGTGATAAGGAAGTGCATATGCTCGTATTATACTACAGGTACCTAATAATCGTGAGCCGGTGGCCTCCGTACAGAGTCAACCAGCTTTGTGTGTCCCGAGTCCGTAATTACTGTACAATGCTGTAATTTCTCAAAATCAGCTATGGTATTCTGCTAAATGTACTGAATTGTTACAGTGCCGTTTAATCAAGATAATTAATCGATTCAAAAGTATTTTCTTGACACTTATCGTACATCGTGTTATTTATTCGTGTAAAACTGCAATATTTGATATACCGAATTGTGTATTTCTCTTCTCGACCGTTCAGCTCGAGTTGATTTTGTCAGTGCTCAGTGGCACAAGCGAGTTAAAACAACAGCATATCATAATATTATACGACTACGAGTACAATTATTTTGTACATACTGTTGCCAAAAGTGAAAAGAAACTTTGTAATGCGGGACCGCGGTTGGTCTCGGGCGTAAATACAGGATCGTATTTATGAAATCCGTGTTAGTGATTGATGTACGCCATGAAATAGTCAGTTCAGCACCCGGGACGGACTGCCCAAAGCGGACAAGAGGAAAGATATTTTTTAGGGTCAAAACAAAAAGAAATTGCAATGAAGATAGAATTTATTTTATCGCTTATTTAGAACCAAAAAGCTATCATAAGTGTAAGCGTATTGTCATGCTTGTGTGCTGGTTGCTGCTGAAACAAAAACCATTAAAAAATGCGAACTATTAAAAAACTTTTAAGTGCATTTCGCTTTTTTCAAGTAACGGGAAATTTTTGTTTACTGTTTCTCGCGGCAAACTTTGTGCGCCGATCGCAGAAAATACAGTATTATTGATTGAATCTTGGTCTGAAGCAGTGAAACATTATCAGAAGCGTTTTAATCTAACTGGACTTGCAGTTTTTATCATGAACAGTTATACGATGAAGGATTTTAACGTGGCCGTGAAACCTTATCGGATTTAGTTGCAAACACGCTGATACAATCGGTTGTACAAGCTTGTCCGGTAATTTCTGCCGGTTCAATACAGCGAAAAAACACAAATTTGCGTATTACGCCAAACTCAATGCCACGGCGCGCCACGCCACACTGCTTAAATACGTAACACGCATCTGGCTGGCTGGTGGCTTGGTGCACGCCAGATAATTTAATGAGAATCACAGTAACTGCCTGGCGGACGGTGACTAAAAAACGGTCAGTGTAGTAATGGAAAATCTAACTGCGGAGCGGATTTAGGCAGTCCGATAAGAGTAGTGACGTGGCCACCGTTTCAAGCGCAAATTTCGCGCTAGCTGTACCTTTACGACAGAAATTACCGGACAAGCTTGTACTAGGTGCAAGTACAGCTAGATTTCTTGCATAATATTAGATCAGATTTTCGCTCGTAGCAGGTGGACTGCCAAGTTTCAAATACCCTCTGTACATGTTTTGTGCCATATTTCCACGGAATTTATCGACAGCGGTTAATATCACGCATTAAGCATTTCGATTTCTCGCTTATTTTGGTTACTTTGCATAGTATTAAACATTTTGCGATACATTCCGTTTTTCGCGCACCTGGACCATATTCGCTGGCATTTCGCCTTTCCCCAACCAAATGTTGAACAGTCGCCTTGACTGGCACTTTTGGATGGGGTACGAAGAAATTGCCGATCGTTAGATACCTCCAGCTACGGACACGGAAATATGCGTCCATCCAGTTGGCATTTCCAGTACGTGCAACTAAGGCAAGCTCATCGGTCTTTGGACATTTTCCTTTGGTATTATAATATTCGAATACAGAAAACATTCTAACGTCTCCGTATGGAGTTTCTAGAATGTTTTTTATGTATTCGAATCGTTTTAGCCGAATCATTTGCAAACTGTACAGTGGCATCATTGTATCCGCATCCCATGCAAACCTTCACGAATGCGTCAGCCGCAAGTTAAAAAAATGTGTGGCAATAAAAATGTGTATGCAAGCCGAAGTAGAAATGTGGTTTGCAGACCACTTTTGTGCTGCAACAATGACCAGTTGGTCATTTTTCGTGCGATTAATTCTGCGAGCCCGATGGCAGCCGACTTTCATGATATAAAAGTTTTAACAGTTTGTGTGTGTATTTATGTGTACAGTATTTGTGTGTAATTTTAACAGTTTGTGTTTGTATTGAACTATATTGTCTGATATTCATTAATATCTTCTTTATCTCCTTCAAAGGTTTGAAGGAAATAAGGTTTGAAGGTTGGAAGAAGAAAACATATCATAAACATGGTAAAACCAAGTATGTATGTTTTGTTACATTTTAATCAATAAATTATAAGTTTGAAATACATGGATGGAGCGTTTATAAACCGCATTCAACGCGGCTGCGTTTTTCATGGAATTTTCGCCTTATGCGCATGCATACGTATAGGGTACATAGTACATACTGTTACATCCAAGAAGTGCGAGGTGATACTGTGACACCAGTTACTGGATCGATGAGTTTTCGTTATCTGTAGACTGCAGCAGTAAGCAAAAATTTCACAAAAATTGCCAATGAACTAAATTTCAAAGCCTTTGACCATAAATTTAAACTGCATTTGCTTGGTTATTATTTGCTTGGTCACAATCAACGACTACCAGATGGAAGAAGAAAAGCACGTGAAGTACCGGTACCTGGGGATCTACATAGACCGCAACATGAAGTGGGGAACGCATATCGATCACGTGCTGCGGAAAGTTAACTACGGCATCGCAATGATTAACTGTGCAAAAGACGGCCTGGATCTGCCCCAGCGTAGGAGCCTTTACCATGCCTGTGTGCAGCCACACTTCGACAACGGGTCGGATACGTGGTCACCGGCATCTTTGGTTTGCGCGGTAAACTGGCTAAAGCACAGCGGAAAGCACTGCGGGCGATTTCTGATTACAAGGAGCGGGTAACACCCGAGCTGTATCAGAAACTGCGTATCCTGCCAGTGTACGACCGTTGGAAGCAGTCTGAAGCAGTATGGTTGTACAAGATCTACAACCACGAAGCGTACCGTCCACCGAAGTATTTGGTCGAGATGATTGACTTCACGGATGTTACATCGCGGTACAATCTCCGGAAGCCGAAAAGAATCGAAGCCTCAGCGAAAAAGAAGATCGGAGAAAGCACCCTGGCTATCCGACTGAAGGACATCTTTGAGCGCATACAGAATGTTAACATGCAGATACTCAGTGTTGATGGCGTGGGTTTTTCAAGTTTGCTCTCCGAATGGTTGATCTGTCGTAATATGCTGATGTTGTTTACTTTTGTACCGACCAGACGTTGAAGTCCCGTTAATCGGGTTGTCTGCTCTTGATGTAATAATAATATAATAATCGCGTTTCCCCGTTGCATCTGGATAGATAAACGCTGTCTAAAAAACTCTACTTTGATATTATTTTATCTGTACAAGTACAAAATATCACACATGCCAGGACACTGAAGAGTAAAAACGCTTTTCCATCAGGAAATTTCAAAAAGTAAGGGCGGCATGCCATATGTAAAGGTCGTTGCACGCCTGGGAAAACTGTATGGACCGGTGCGTACGACTTGAAAAAAGAGGAATACCGAACACCTTGTTTGGGTTAAAGAATTTACAAATGACGTGAAATGACGTGGTGTGAAGCACTTACCTGTATCAACAATTTGCCCGACAACCTGCCAACCCACAAACTGCTGCCAACGTTATTTCCCAATACTACATCCGCAACGTAGAAGACCTGAACTCGACTATCCCTCTGCTACAGAATACCATCGCCTCAATGCCAACCCACTTCCAGCGACCGCTAGCAGAATTTTCCAAATCGGATGCCACCATTAAAGTTTTAACAATACCATCCGTAATCTCCGAAGCCTTATCCAACAACTTAATGCCAGTTATGTACAAGGGACTACTTCCACCCTGCTGCCTCCGGTCTGTACCTGTGCGAGCGAATCCTCACTTATCATGTCCCTCCTTCCACCTTTCCTAACTCTTGCCGTTGCAATTATTGCCACCGTCATGCTGACTATCCGCAAGTGCCGCCAGCCAAAACAACTACCGAACGCCATTTTCAACGTACGCTACGACACCCAGCAATGGGAACGCCACGTATCCGAAGCTATTCAGCAACACCTTGAAGCTAACAACCATTAAATCCAACCTTCGGCATAATTTCCAGCCATTTTTTCGCTGCCATTTCTACCATGCTAAGATTGATTTTAATACATATACAAAATGATTTAACTTCGAACCGCCCTTTTATTTTTCCTTAAACATTAAATTGCCCACTTGTTATACTATATAACCATGTATTTTTACTTTCTTTTATAGCTATTACGTGCAACTCCAATCTGTTTACTCATATTCTACTTATAGCTGTCCTATCATCTTTGTGAGCAAACTTAATAATTACCCTATCTGTGTGACTAGTTTGTCGCCTAGAACAACATTAAAGTAAGTAAGAATAATTCAGCAGAATATAATTTAATGGCATCCGTTCTCTTACTGATGTACGTGTTCGTGCAGTGTAATTTCTGGATGCCGATCAAATTGCCGGCAAATGGAGATTAATATGCCAGGGATACCTCAGGATTTGGTGGTTTGTTTATAAATAATCCAGACATGAATCCCTTCTAGGATTCCGTGCTGTGCAGTGGATGCAAAAGAGGATCGGCTCCTCTTATTAGCTTAATGGTACAGTATCATCAAAGTTGGGAAAATCATCAATTAAGCAGCTGTCGTGGCAAACGCCCACTAGTGGGATCTCTTGTTCTGCCACATCGAACAGCGCCTCCCTGATCTGAATATTATTTTTTAAGTACGCGCGCAGCGGTGTCCAGTTTATTGTTCCTCAGCAGCAGTAGAAATGCAGTCACCTAGCAAGTGCCACATTTAATCTTTTGAATTTTCAAAATGAATATTTCCCGCCTCCAGGACAACCGGACCAACACGCTGCCCGACCTTCGGACCGAACTGCTGGCCATGGTATCAGTTTTCACAATAATCGCGGTCATCGGCGTCGTCTTATCAGCGACGCTGTTTTTCACGATCATTTTGCGCTCGCAGCTGCTGACCGGCTCCGGCATCCTCATCGCCCACCAGCAGCTTATGCACATCCTGCTGAGCGGCCTCAGCAACCCCTTCTACATTGTCGTCGGGTGGGCCGTATGGCTGGGACTCCCACTCACCGGTATCAACTGCACGATCGTGTATTTTGTGTGCCAGGTAAACGATTAAAGACACAGTATATTCTTAGCTGAAAAAAATTGCTCCATTGCACAAAGATCTATATTTGATTAAATTACAACAGGTAATTATCTGCGGCGAAACATGGACGTCCTTGTTCTTAGCGGTGAATCGCTTTATCGCTCTCCTCTGTCCCCATCACTACCGCAGCATATCCTCGACTAAAGCCATTGTCGGCTTTATAATTGCAGCCTGGTGTATCAGCGTGGCAATCAACATTCCTGCACTCTTGGGAATCGGTAGTTTGTTTGGACTGAAGCAGGTGGATTGCGGATTTATAAGAATTACTAATCCCCGCCTTTTCGATGCTGTCGGTGCGTTAACTGTGCACCTTCCACTGGCGCTGCAAGCTGTGTTATACGGGATTATTCTGGCCAGTCATTGCCGGAAGGATACTGAAACGCAGGCGGTTGCTGCGTATAAAAAGCGCTTTGTATTGTTTCGACTGCTGCTGTTCTCATATATCTGGTATGTGGCCAGCTACCTGCCGTTCTTAATTGCCGTACACGGGTTTCCGCGCTTCTTCTTCGGTAATAAAGTCCGCAGCGGTTGGTTCCTCGTTTCACAGCAGATCGGTTACACCGGAAGTCCGGTATGGTGTTTCGTTCGTCGGCGTATTGTCACTTTCGTTCGACATTGGCTGATTGCAGGTGTTCTTGCTGCTGATGAACAAAGAATTTGGGAGAACAGCAAAACATTGTATTGCACGTATGGCTTGGAAAACGAGTTCGGTGTCTGTAGCGCCCAGGTCGACCCGGAAACCATCCAATCTGATATCTCACATACGCTAACTGCCGACTGTTTTGTTTATTGTTATACACCCCGCCTCTCTTTACTGCTTCAATCAGGCATCCGTATGGACTTCCGCGCCATAATTGAAAAGGGGCTTTTAACGCGCTACTTTAATACTTACGCACTGCTATCGATACATGCATGATGTATCGTGTAAGATTTATCGATAATCAAGAAGCGCTGAAAAGATAGTAAAATATACGGAATTAATAATCCCTCTCGCTGCGTACTGTTAGAATGATTTTACGCTCAAGTGCGATTTTGTCTAAAACAAACCAGCCAACAGATTTCGCGTTTAAGTTTTTTGAAAGCAAACGAAACCCTGTGAGCTCCTTTAGATAAAGAACGTCCTAGCTTTACACGCAATCGCAGTTATGACCTGATCCAAAAAACACAGTTTGCGTTAGCTGACCCTTTACCTGTGTTTAGCGAGAGAGAATATGTTTTTGGGTTACTGATCCCCCACATTGGCAGACATTTATACATTTATGTGTGCTTTTTCATGTATCTGTAGTACATTTTGATGGTTTTCTCGGGTTTCTGGGGTTTTGTGCAAGTATGAGTAATACGCAGAAGTGTGAACTCTACTCTTTAACTATTAATTTTTAAAATTTCTATGGGCATTCATGTACGAGCGCATACTCATTTCCACAATACTCGCATCACTGTATGATCACAATAAATAAAAGTTAGCGAGAACAAGTATGTAATTCTTCGGAGTACACCTGCATCAAGGTACAGGTTTAAATGAAGCGCTTTAAAAATCCCCTGTTCACCCTTGACGTACAGATCCATAGAAGACAGCAGCAGCACATGGGAGATGTACAATGCGATACTGGCTTCCCCTTTCCCTTTTTCTGTACGTTGTACGTATATCTGAATTATATCTTCGCACCGCTGCCAATTAGCGATCACATTTATCTGAAAAGTCTTGTTCGGGTGCCCATTGGGCACGAAATATGCCATCCGTAACACGGCTGGAAAGTCCATGTGGGGTAACATATATCTTACGATTATGAAATCCATACATCTGCTGCCAAAACCATTTTACTGTCAGTACAAGGAACATCAAATACATCCGCAAGATAAATTATTTTCTTTGAAAAATTCTTGTTTGACAGACTAAGAAAAAATCACTAAAAAAATACCGCGATGATGGTCCGATTATAAATCTCGCAGGTCATTTAATTGTACGACGGTGATCTTTGTATTGTTCCCGCCAACGATATACCGGTATGGCCAGAGTTCATTTTGTACAGCGATGTGACTACAACAAGCATTAACACGAGGCAGTGCACGAAAGGTATAAAATAATGGTAAACATAAGCAGTAGCAGGACAATCGGCTTGAAAATTCTCGATTCATCCTAATCGTACATCGTGCATGCTAGCTGGGGTTGGCAAAATGTTTGTTTTCCGACGGTTGTTTTTGTCCGTCGCGTAACATAAACAGGCAGCTAACGCAGTGCGCACGATCTCAGTTCTGCAGTACACTGCTTGCACAGGTTACAGTCTACAGACACTTGATTAATGCGGAATTCCACAATAAATAAATTTTAACCTGCCATATTGATACAGTGTTTGTTACAACCGGTGCCATTCTGAATGTGTTTACTGCTTGCACGGCTGGACGATGCCACTGTTGCGAATTTTGCACAAATTGTAAGGTGCAATAGTCACAGCAGTGTCAGTCCTTGAGATACCGGCTACCGCTTTCCGATGCCCCAGATGAATTCAGCCAGTCTGGAGCTGGCTGCGCTAAATTAGCGTAAAACTAGAAGGTTTTGATTGGCAATGTGTTCAAGTCCGTGGTGCAGGGACATAAAATTATGTTTTCGAATACGAGCAGTACGCTTGAGTAGGTATTTCACAAAATAATGAATTTTCGGTACACCCGAATGCATTTAAACTTTTTGGATCTTTCATTGAGCCCTAACTCACGAACCGAATTCTGCGCGCACAAACGGTTTTTACGCTCATGTATGCAAATTATCTGGCTACAGATTGTCATGAAACAAAGCAAAAATGTGTTTGGGAGTGCGCGAAAGTGAAAGATTTCGTCCATGCACACGAATTTGGTACAATGTGACCGGCCACTTCCCTTCATGCAGACCTACTGTACGTTAAATGATCATACAAGTACAATAATGAATTCTCTTCGGTACATCGCCCAAATACATCACTTCCGGTTGCCATATATGGCACACTTTGATTGCAGAATTTTCTGCAAAGTATTTCGGCAAGCGGTATTTCTTTTGTCGAATGTGGACGTTGGTCTTCAGTGTACCTAGACGGACACGACCAATACATTAATAAATTGTACAATATTATCTATCGCCTATCGGTATCACCGTATCAGCAATAGCAAAACATTATTATAAAGTGAGTATTCGTGTGCAGACATTTTAAAGGTAATTAAGCGTTAACGTTGCTTGTGAAATAATTAAACGCCTAAATTTTCACCTTTAATGGTAATATTCAAATTTAATTTAATGTTGCAGGACGCCGATTATCGTATGAGTGCATGTACATAGTCGAGTTACCGAACCGACTGTGCATTTTAATGGTTCTTTGACTTCTGTCTGCGCAAGACCCTCGGTTGTCGTACATTAAACAACTGGTCTTATACATAACGATGAGTTAAGTAAGTCAGCAGCTTTACTTCCGGTGGTGCTCCTCACTGCCAGAAGTGCTAGTCCGAGTTTTTGCAAGCGCAGACAGTTTTGCTTATGTCTAATATGAACTTTTACCTACCCAGGAAGACGTAGCCAGTCATGATGCAATACATTAGCTACAATTATTTGATGCAGATATTACAATAATGGGAATATTATTATTGCCCGTTTGGGTCTTGTCTGGGCAAAGGAATCGGCCCATTCGTTGGTAATTAAGAGATGAATTCATTCAGTCTGAAAAGTTGGCCAGTGCTCGGAGTTCCACGGTGCAAACAGGGAACCAAATATCGACGAAAAAAAACGTATTTCCTGCCGGAATTCGCGTAGCGCTAACTTAAAAAGAATTTTGGATAAACTGCATCCAGGGATTGTGAACAGCAATGAAATCACAGTCCTGCTGATTATGCAATTGTTATGTGACGTGCAGTCACGTACGTATACTGTTGCGTTCACTGGTAAACAAGTGTTTATGCAATTGTTGTGAACTATCTTCACGTAGTTAATCGTGTCTAAAGAGGTCTGTTTTCTATGCTGATTTCTCAGCGTTCGGCTGAAGTTGTGTTTGAGCGATTCAGTATCCATCATGAGTGTGTACAGTAAAGATCATTAATGGGATTCAGCAGTATTCTCCGTTGTGTATAACGTAGGAGAAACGATCATATATTATGGCGCTCCTGGGTGGATGCGTTTAGCAACCGTAATAGCCCGGTGACCTTTCTGTTCTCAGTCGATATGACGGCTCCCGTTATTGATCCATTTTATACCCATCTTTACGACACCTGTAATGAGCGTTTGAAGGCGGTGGAAGCGGCTTTGGGTATGTGATTCTGTTAGTCTGCGGATAGTTCTTTTGAATGTTATATTCGTAAAAGAATCGCATATCGTTCAATATCTGGTTGCTACTTTTGTTCAAAATGTGTAAAGTTTTGAGCTGTATAGTATCGCCGATTAGAAAGTTGATGAGCTGTTGCTCGTGGTCAACCCAATTGTTAATTCTCCTGTCTGCTGGTAGTTTGACTGCTAATGTCGTGTTGGGATACATGCTGCACCAGGCGCAATCCAACATTATTTGCAATGCTATTCTTGGTTAAATAATTGTCGACGTTGATGTCCGACAAAAGCGGTAAATCAACGCAACCGCTAGCTAAGAAAGCAGATAAGTCTGTCGCACCTGCAGCAGCAGATAAACCTGTCGCAAGTTCACTAACTGTAGCTTCAAGTTCGAAAGCTGCTACACAGACTTTTCCGTATACAGAAGCTGACATATTAAAAAAAGCCGGAGGACGGACGTTGCGTTCAGACGGTCAAGCAGAGTTTGCAGAAGGCGAATTGCCAAAACCAAAAAAGGTCAGGCGTGCCCAGGGCGAAATCAAGTCTGATGAAGAATTAATATCAGATGACGATGAGCCTGTCACTGCATTAAGCTCAACACAGTCGGCTGTTATACCTGAAAGTGACGCAACGCCACTTGTTGAAACAGTTACACAGTCACCTTTCTTGACCGATATACAAGAACGTACTGCAACGGTTCTCGTTGACGTTAATGATACTGAAAGTGCCAATATGGATGCACAAGTTAAAGCACTTACTGATGGCCTACAGAGTCTTGTAAAGGTCGCAACAGATGCTCCAGTAAGTGGTCCGCTGCAGTGCGATAAATTCAAACCTTCAGAGCATAACGCTCGTGAATGGATGAAGGAGTTTGAAGAAGCAGCGACCATGTCGAATTGGCTGGACAAAACCAAAAATGAACGGTTTGCGTTCTACTTGACGGCTGGTGCCGCTAAGCAGTGGTATAACCTCAGAAAGCCGTTTGCGACTTGGGACGCTTTACGTACTGCATTTCTCACAGAATTTGTCAGTGAGGATGAGAAGTGGGACTATCAGAACAAGCTGCAAAATCGCAAATTCAATCAGGACAAAGAGAGACTGGTTGAATATTACTACTCTATCATTGACCTTTGTCAAAAAGTCGATACTGCGATGTCAAACGAAATGAAAGTACGCTACCTGTTGAACGGTCTCAGTACAAGCCTACGTAATCATATGGCGGTGCTTAACCCGACAACACCGGAAGAGTTACTGACACGTTTCAAAGTGTTAAAAGTTGATTCGGAACGTACAAGTTCTAACACAAATGTCATTTTGACAGCTGAAGTCTCGGCAAAGCAGAAGCAAAGTGAAGACGACGAAACTGCTGCCGGTGATGTCAGTTCAGCAAATGTGTCAAACGTGCTGCAGTCCAGTGAATTTCAACAGGCTGTGGACAGAGCTATCTCTGCCCGTTTGCAGCAAGAGTTCCAGATGGCTGCCGGCCCATCAACACCTCCCGAGACTCAGTCAGCTGCGCCTGTGCTGACGCAAACGTTTGTACGTGGAGGTGCTGCAGGCGCCCGTGGAGGCCGTGTTCGTGGTGGACGTGGTCGTGCCCGTGGGCGTGGCCGTGGTGGCACAAGAAACGGCGGCAATGGCGAACCCCGCAAACCGGCTGCGACGGTTGAACGGAACCAAGATGATAAGTCGCGATGTGATTTCTGCTGCTTTGTTTTGCGAAGCGATGCGATGTTTCGGTTTTTGCAGTGCTTCAAACTCAAGAAAGGGAGTGTTATGTGACGTGCAGTCACGTACGTATACTGTTGCGTTCACTGGTAAACAAGTGTTTATGCAATTGTTGTGAACTATCTTCACGTAGTTAATCGTGTCTAAAGAGGTCTGTTTTCTATGCTGATTTCTCAGCGTTCGGCTGAAGTTGTGTTTGAGCGATTCAGTATCCATCATGAGTGTGTACAGTAAAGATCATTAATGGGATTCAGCAGTATTCTCCGTTGTGTATAACGTAGGAGAAACGATCATTTATCACAATGGTTATCTATCTTTGCACTGGGTCGCTCAACGGCATAACCAGAGTTTGTCATGTACAATGCAGCAATTATTGATTAAAACAAACAAGTATACGCTTCATTGCACGAGAATATAATAATGGGTACTTATAAACATGATCGGTAGTACGGTATTCGAATAATCGATTTGAAAACCCTCTTACGAATACTTATCGTACATCGTTGATCGTACATAAACGCATGCCAGAACTGGCAAATTGTTTATTTTCTCACGGCAAAGTGTCGTTGATTGTGCCGTCAGAAAAACAAAATAATACTTAAACGTATTTGCTCAAAAATGATGCAGAATCTTCATATTATCATAGACGGTGTAAATAAATCGGTTACCAGCTAACGCATATGAGAACTCAGATTAGATGGTTTCGCTGTCGACCTGGACGCCACAGATACCGAATTTGTTTTACACAGCAAATGTGCAACATAGCTTCTCGCTGTTCTGACCATGTCCTTGTTCATCAGCAACAAGAACACCTGCAAATTAATTAATGCTTAACAGAGGTTACACAATGCTGACGAAATTAACACCATACCGGACTTCCGGTGTAACCGATCTGCTGAGATACAAGAAGCCAGCCGCTGCGGACTTTATCAGCGAAGAAGAACCGCGGAAATCCGTACAGGGCAATCAGGAACGGCAAGTAACTGGCCACATACCAGAGATAGGAAAGCAGAAGCAGACGAAACAGTATAAAGCGCTTTCTATTGGCCGCAGCAGCCTGCGATTCCTTATCTTTCCGGTAATGATTGGCTAGAATAATGCCGTATAGCATACCCTGCAACCCCAGCGGAAATTGCAAAGTGAGCGCACCGGCTGCATTAAAAATTTGGGTATTGGTCACCCGGATAAACCCGCAATCCACCTGCCGCAATCCAAATAAACTGCCGATACCCAGGAGCGCTGGTATGTTGATTCCGATGCTGATACACCAGGTCGCGATTATAAAGCCGTTAATGGCCTTGGCCGAGGAAATGCGGCGGTAATGGTGTGGATAGATTAGAGCGATAAAGCGATTGACCGCTAAGAACAAGGATGTCCAGGTTTCACCGCAAATAATTACCTGTAATACACAAATACGAACGGAGTTCGATATCTTCGTGCGAACGAGAGGTCGGCATTGTTTTCAGCTACTGGTTAAGACTGCTGCACACCTGAACCAAATTAGATCAAGGTCATTTACGTACTTAGTAAAGCCCATCTAATGCTAATACAGTAGCTTTGTGAATACGGTTTTGAGGTCAAAGGAAATAAAAGTCCCGGATAAATGCCAGAAGAACGGACATCAACTTAAGTAAAACTTTAAAAGGGCAGTAGAAATAAATGTGTTTGCAAGGACCTGAAGTGCAGGTCCTTAAAGTGCAGACCTTAAAACAAACTGTGTACAGTTATTGAATAGTATGACAGAAACTAACTTAGACGTATGGCGGAATCGATAAGAAAAAGTTTTTGATATCGGCGGAAATGGTGTTACCAAAGCACTGACAGATGTGCTACTGTATGGGTAATGTAGCGCTGCCCATAGTTTCTCTAGTGGTGTCCCTAATCGTTTACCTCGCAGACAAAATACACGGTGGTGCATTTGATCCCGGTGAGAGGGACTCCAAGCCACACGGCCCACCCAACGACAATAAAGAAAGGGTTGCTGATGCCGCTCAGCAGGATGTGCATAAGCTGCTGATGAGCGACGAGGATGCCGGATCCGGTGAACAGCTGCGAGCGCAAAACAATCGTGAAAAACAGCGTCGCTGATAAGGCGACGCCGATGATCGCGGTTACGGTGAACACGGATACCATGGCGAGCAGTTCGGTTCGGCGGTCTGACAGCGTGGTGGTCAAGTTGCCTTGGATGGTGGAGATATTCATTTTGAAAACCTTAAGGGTTTAATAATATGTGGTGGAAAAGGGGTGATTAAGTTTCTGCTTCTGATGACCAGAAAACCGGGCGCAACGCTACGAATGTACATCTTCCAAAAAGACATAATATAATAATAAGATTAGTGATGCGTTAGGGCGCTGAATGTTGGGCGGAACAAGAGATTGCAATAACATGCCTTTTGCCGCTTCAGCTGCATTAGTTGATAATTTTCTGAGCTTTGATGCTAACCCGGGTGGAAACTGACGTAACCAGTAAGCAAATTAGAGGAGCTGGCCGATCCTCTTTCCCATCCAATGCAAAACGTGCGTTGTTAGAATGGATTCGTTAGGACTATTTATAATGCTAATCGCGGGTATATCCCTTGCATATTGATCTACCGTTGAAGAAAATTTGTTAGGCATCTGGTAATTACACTGGCAGAACTGCAGCATTAAGTAAGAAAAACGGAAGTCATTACACTGTGTGCCAGTGTGTGGTGCTGAAGCATCGAACAAGGATCCTCATTTGTACATCCTGTAATTTAAAAGCGCTTAAAATTCAGGTTTATTGAGATAAGAGCCCAAATAGCAGAGCAAATACTGTAAATTTTTTGTTAAGTACTGGTTATTTGTATTTTGGAGAATATTCTTTCTTGCTTGAAGAAAAACTACCGTGGTTTCGCCAAGTGATAATCTTGCGAAATAGTCTCCCCACACTCTGTAATATATGTACATCGCACCCGGATATTTGGGAGTGTGACATTTTGCCGCAGTTAAATTCGACGCATGACTTTTCGCCGCGAAGACATTTCGCCGCGAGGCATTTTGACGCTGGGAACTTCGTTTAGGGACAATTAGCATTGAGACATTTTGACTTTGCGACATTTTGACGCGCGATGTCTGGTCGCGGACACTTCGCCGCAAAAGCATTCGACACGCTTAATTTTTGCAGGTTTTTCGAGTTTCTTGGGAGGTTTTGTTAAATCTTTTGAGCTTCTTAGGTTGTTCTAAATTATTCTTAGGTTATTCTCAGGTTATTCTTAGGTAATGCTCGAGTTATTCAGGTTTTTTAAGTTATTCTTAGGGATTTCTTATGGTTCTTGGCCTTCGTATTTTCTTAGTTAGTTTTTTTGAGTTATAAATTTTTTTCTTTAGAATTCCGGTCAGTTTTAATAAGCCTGATAAAAAATTTATCTGCTGAAATGGACTTTTCGTCGAAACAGTCCTGCTGCGAAATATCTGGACCAAAAGTCCTGCGAATGAGTTGTCGACGGCGAAATGTCGCGGTGCCTATGTACATAATTTGTTAAAAAACCAAGTTAAGCATCGCAAAAGTCAGCGCGACGAAGCCGGAAAGAGGAACTGGCGAAGTTTGCGATTGGAAACCCTTGTTTTCCCGTGTTCTTGGAAAATTTTTTTTCTTGTTTTCTTTTTCACTTTTGCGTCGCGTCGTGGAAATAATACCGCCCTGTTCGTGTTTGGATTTCATATGAGCGAAGCGCTCCTGTTCCTTTTCGGGAACAAGCTAAATACGACGTTCCGAGTTCCGACGTTAAGGGAAGTGCCCCGGTACATGGTACCAAATTCGTGTACATGCACGCGAACTTTCACGTTCGCGCACTCCCAAACACATTTTTGTTTCTGTTTATGACATTCTGTAGCCAAAAGATTTGTATACACTGGCGTGAAAACCGTTTGTGCGCGCAACATCCGGTTCGGGAGTTACGGCTGTTAGAAAATTCCAAAAAGTTTAAATGCATTCAGTTGTACCAAAAGTCTCATTGTGGACCGATCTCCCTCAAATTTTGCACGTAAATGCATATAATCACGAAGAACGTTGTTACACGATCCTCTGTTCTAACAAGTTTTATAAAAATTAAAACGGATTTTAAAAATTTTAAAATAAATTTTAAAATTTGAAGAAAAGCACGGTAGTATAAATCGGTATAAAGCGATCTTCATGGCTATGTGCATTAACGTGCAAAATTCGACGGAGATCGGTCCATAATGAGACTTTTGGTACACCTGAATGCACTTAAACGTTTTGGAGTTTTCGAGAAGCCATAGCTCCCGAGTCGGATGTTGCGCACTCAGACGATTTTCAGATCGGTGTACACCAATCGCTTAGCTATAGAAAAAAATAAAAAAAAAGTTCTTCTTGGTTATGTGCATAAACGTGCAAAAATCTGAAAGAGATCGGTTTTTTAATGGGTATTTTGTTACACTTGAATGCATTTAAACTTTCTGGAATTTTTTTACAGCCATAACAGCCGAACCGGATGTTGCGCGCACAAACCGTTTTCGCACTACGGTATCCAAACCATCTGTTACAGAATGTCAAAGCGAAACAAAAAATATGTGTTTGCGAGTGCGCAAAAGTGAAAGTTTCAGTGCATGGACACCAATTCAGTACCATGTACCGGGTCACTTCCCGTAATACAGCTCTTGGAAAGCACTCGTACAAACCCGGTATTCAGTGAGTGGCGATTACGTTTGTCTTAAAATTGTGAGATGGGCTTTTACATACATACAGCACATACAGCTTGAAAAATAAGTTTTGTTTACTGAAAAAACAAATAATTTTTCGTCTTGCGCAGGTTGGACCATGAAAAGTTTCCACAAGAGCTCGGCACCGGTCGGTATATGCAAAAATAAACAGTACGTAAACCGGCTGAAGAATTAATGAATCGCGTATTCGTTTAATGAATATGCGAAAATATATTTTTTGAATTCCGTACCAACAACGTAAGCATAATTCGGGTAAAATAACCGCCGACGCTCTCGTTTCCGTTGCTGGCTAATGTCTTTTGGCACACCAGATCTGAGCAAACGTTTGTCGGAACTCCCTGCTCAAGGAATCGAATAGAGAATAATCAAAAAGACAGCACCTTTCAATAAATGCAGGGCATCCATCAGACTGCCGAGCGGGATAAAGATATTGTCAAAGAAATCCACGGAGAAACATATGGATAGCGCCAGTAATCCCGATGGACCGTCGGTAAGGATACAGGCCACGGCGATGACC